ATTTTTTTACACTTTTGGAGGTTATCTACTTTTTATAAGCTCTTGGGAATATTTTCATTGGTAAAGAAATCGAAAGCTTTGCCGTTCTATATAGATGAACGATTTTTGGTTGTTGTTCGACATATTTCAACGCAAAAATCTGCTCTGGGCCAGTCGAGTTCGTCTGACTGGTATTGCTAGTGATGGAATGATAGCAGATATTAGTAAGGAGTATTTCTCGTGGAAGAAGGTATCTATATGATGTAGAGAAGTGACAGGTCGCCGTCCACCCAAGAGGCAAATGGCTCTTCTCTGATGGATGGAATCTAAGACAGCATCAGCGTATGTTTGGGTGCTGAACCCCATGTGTGAGAACAATATTCTGAAACTGGTCATATCTGTGCTTTGTATAGATCATGAATAGCTGTTGGAAACTGGTCATATCTGTGCTTTGTATAAGTAGATCATGAGTAGCTGTTGATGTGGTGGTAGTAGATTTTCGCACCAAATAAGAAACAGAGTTTTTGCAAAGCAGCTTTCGCGATGGATTGATCATGATTCTCCCATTAAACAGTATTGCTGATGAGGATACCAGCATAGATATATAGTGGTCTTAGTGGGAATGGTGCGGTACCAGACATTCTTATATACTGAGTTCTGCTTTTCTAGAGAACAAACAGGCTTGAGTTTTGGTGGCGTTGATTTCAACTAGGTTGTTGGTTCCCCAGGCAGTAAATTCAGCAGGATCGTCATTGACAGAATTGACCTGCCGGCGTCGTAAGTTCTTGGTTTCCCAGGAAAAAATAGAGATTCTAGAAGAGAACGCAGTATGATGCGAAGTATAATATCGCCTGCAAAGCGTGGATAGGACACCTAGTAGCTCCCAACAGATCGTTGATATAAAGTAGGAACAATGTTGTAGCCAAAAATTGATCCTTGTAGAACGCTGGAATTGATGGCAATGGTATCAGTCGAAGCTCTGTCTACCACCACATGGTGCGATCTGTGTGGAAGAAAAAACTCAAGATAAAAAAAGGCATACTTAACTGAGGTGGTATAAGCCATGATGGTAGTTTGTGGAGTAGTCCTCAGTGACAAACACGGTCGAATGCCTTATTCGGTATATCCATAGGTATATCCAACGCCACAGCAAGAGATCCCCCATGTTTTTCTAATGGAGCTTGCCATATTTTATGGGTGACGTATGGTGAACATTTTTGAGTTGATTTTAACTCCAGATCTACACAACTTTGTGTCAATCCAGGTCCACACCAGATTGTGTAACCATTTTATACCTATCCTTCAAATCATACTGACACGAAATGTCTCAGTAATATGAAAAAACATGAGTTCTTGATGAAACAAATTGTACAGTTAGTTCTATTTTGACGAAAAGCATCACTCAATAGGAATTTTTACCTTATAGGCAAGTGAATTTCCAGTTGATCTCCGGGAACGAAAGCCATATTGTCGACCATTAATGATTTCCGAGCTTTCCAGATGTTAAATGAACTCAATATTGATGGCTTTCTCCATCACTTTGTAGGTGACTGTCAGTCAGGCTTCTGTTTTTTTTTTGCAGGGATTGGTTGGACTCTATAGATATTTCCCACACTGAGGGAAAAAATTTGTAGCCGTTACTAAGAAATTAGTAACTACAGATAAATTTTTTAGTACGATAGGGGACAGCAAGCATTAGTTGTTGCCATAACTAATTCTGTTTTTCTGGAAACGCCTATTTGCCTCTAATGAAAAGTTTAGTTGAGTCATCTACGACGTTGTTGTGGTAACTAATAAGCCTTTTTAAGGAATAATACCAAGTTTTATTTGCCACAATCAAGATACATAGTTATGACAATTAGATTGGTAGTATTGTTTCAATATATGTTTGTTATCACAACAAATTATCCAATTTGGGGCAATTACTCATTCCTTCTGACGTTAATAGTGAGTGTGTTGTTGCAAATTAAATATTTAATTGTGACTGAAATGGAATCTAGTTACTATTAAAAGTGCTTTAGTAACGTTTGAAATATAATTTAGTTATTCTGGCAACTTAATAGATATATCAATTAAAATCAAGGCCCCATTCTAATCATAACAGTTTGTATTCCATTTTCCTTCCAATTTCCAATGGAATCGTGAACAGGAATACACCACACACCGTAAGTGCCACAGGCCAAAGCTCAGCAAAAAGAGAGGGAATTATAAATATACACCGTGTACACGTGACGTCGGTTGGACGTTTCTCACCGTCGCCTGTCGTATTATTTACCTGAACCTGATAACTAGTGACGCACAGATAACGATGGTAAACTGCGAATTATTATTTTGCCAACCAAATACCAAATGGCTCAGCGCGAAGTGCAAAAAAACACAAAACAGTGATTTGAAAACACACAGAGCAGTGAACCAGCAAGAACACGACGCTCCCGGCTACACTAGACAATTATTTCATTTATTTTGTCTAAGCTCGACGACCGTGCGATCTATCCACTATTAAGATACAAGTTCAAATGATGAAACAGGAAGACAAACAGATGTTAGATGCAATTTTTGCCGGTGGGTCCCGAAGAGACGCGAGGCGGTCCCGAACGACGCAGTACAACTAAAATTATTAGTTATGGCTAAACAATTTCTGCTATGAATAATAATAAACCTTTTACGCTAAATGTGTCATCAGTTGTGGCAAATAGTCAGCTGTTGTTAGTAACCCCAGAATGAGGTTTTTTAACCCCAATATGAAATTTTAATTGACTGAATAGACAACACTGTGATAATTCTGTCACAAATAGTATTTTTATTGATGACAAATAATTGGCGAAAAATAGAAAAGTCATTTGTAGGAAATAAGGATACGTTGTCATTGTTAATAAAATTCCAAATATTTTCAATTATCGGTACTAAAAAAATACCAACTAGACGTTTTAATTAACCAGTTTTTCTCAGTGCAGCAAGATGGAAAAACACCCGACTTGTGCTGTGCAAAGAATCGGTGTGAGGTCTGGTACGCATACTTTTTGAGGTTAATGGGTGAAATTTCATCAGGTCCGTTGGCCTTATTCGTTTTGAGACCCAAGGAGAATACGTCTGATAACGACTTTGGAGATTATATGGTGGGAATGAGCTATTAGTGAAATTCCTTCCGACTGCTTTAACCAGGAACCAAAACGAACGAGAGCCGTTGATGGGAAAATCTATGAGTTTTGATATCATTCTGGCATTGTGTGATTCTTTTGATCCATCTATTGTTTGACTGCAGGTATTCCTGATTTCAGCATATTCTCCTCTAGTCACGTTGTTGGAGTTTTTGTGTGAGAGATGGTATATAGGCTGTTTGTTCCAAGTCAACAGCTCTCGAACAGTTCTCGTTGAACCAGGGTTTCGAAGGTGATGGTCTCTTCATAGAATGAGGTATGTATGTGTCCATTCCAAGCATGATGATATCTGATATTTCCGAAGCACACTGTGAAGGATCCTGAGAAGCAAAGCATATTCTATGCCAAGGAAATTCGGAGGAAAACATATGCGGAGAAACCGTCCCAGTCTGCTGAGTTATAGTGCCATACATGACGTAGGGGTGCTGGTGCAGTTGATGAAACGAAAAATGGACAGGTTAAGGATCAGAATTGCCAAGTGAAGCTCGTACGTCTATGGTGTAAGGTGTTGAATTATAAGTGAGGAATGAGTCAAGTGTGTTGGCTGAATGGTTATCGACATCGGGACTTCTTGTGGGTTCCTAGGTAAACTGATTTAAGTTGTGGGTGATAACGGAAGCTTCGGCCGTTCGGCTTGTCGCAGTGTTGTGTACATTGAAATCGACCATGATGATGATTTCTGCTATTGGATAGTTCTGCTGAATGAGGTCAAGCTTCATGGACAAGAACTCAAAGAGCTCCTTATAGGATGGATGATATTCGATGATTAGTAGAGACAACGCAACGACATGCATATGGTCTGTTTTTGGCTATCGAGTTCGAAAATTCAAAACTCGATGTGAATAATTCAGGGACATATTCTTGGGATAAAAATAAAACTTTTTCTCTACAAAATCGAGTGGTCTAAAATGCACCCTCTCTGAGCTACAACAGCTGTGAGTTGGATGAAAAAGATATACAGCCACCTCCGTATGCGAATGTTTAACCCTTTGCGTTCGAAAACGATGCCGTGACTTCTCCTTTCGTTGATTGCGATGTTTTGGCATGTGAGTGGGGCGAAAACTGCCCCATCACCCATCACTGATGCAATCCCAGATGGGTCTATTGTGGCTCACTCCTAGAGGTTACAGGTCACTGTACAATCCACATCTTGTCATAAAAAAAAATAGGTAGGAATTGGTGTTCTTCTTAAATTTCTGTGGAGGCTATATGCCTCGGGAAACACCTCCCTTGGCAATGTGATCCAGAGCATCGCTGTTCGTTGGATGAACGAGTCTTTGGAAAGAGATGTTCTGCAGGTCTCCAAAGTGACCACGAAGGGGTGCGAAGCCTCAAATCGACGGGTTAATCTCGCGGGCACTGCCAAGGGAGGAACAATTGTTGATATTTCAGAAGAGCATCGTCCATGAAAATATCTATAAAATAGAGCCAGATCGCCAACTTTTCTACGGTGTTCCAGAGAAGTGAGTGAGTTTGTGAGCGAGGCATTATCCACGAGATGAATATGCCCTTTTTTGGACAGAATCCAACAGTTTGAGGGTATGTTTGAGTGCTGCACTCCAAATATGGGAACAGTATTCCAGGACAGGTCGGATCTATGATAGGATATAATTCATACATCTTATAGACGTTTTGTGCTATCTGATGTTCATTCTACATCTCCTGTTGAACTAATGTCCATTTCCAATGAAACACACTGTATATACACGCTCGAGGCGTTCAGAGGCAGACGCGAGACAAGACCTACACACCGATACGGACATCGCCAATAGTCTGGGCGCCGATAACGCAAAACGCTCTCTTCTACTTCCTATACAGCGTCATTACTCCACATACCTTTTTACACTTCTCTCATTTTTCCAGACGTCCTGTCGAAGAAGACCACTAAAAAACCTCTCGCAAGCGTCTCTAAATCCTCAGTGCTCCATAGGCCAACGCAGGATGTTGAAGGAACGCGAGAACGCCGAGCCCCTCGACCGCAACGTTTCGTCCCCTTGTTCCTCCTCAGGCATGGAGGCTTCGGCGTGTGCGGGGTGCGGAGAGAGGATCCACGACAGGTTCTACTTGTTGGCAGTTGACAGGCAATGGCACGCAGCTTGTCTGAAGTGCTGCGAGTGTAAGATGCCTCTGGATTCAGATCTGACTTGTTTCGCGCGGGACGGGAGTATTTATTGCAAGGAGGACTATTACAGGTGAGTTTGGAACGGTATTATAACAAGTGAGGTACGTAGTTTTTGAAAGGTATCAGATTAGTATAAAGGTCAGGTAATTCATACGACGTTAAAAAAGCAGATGATATTTTATCATTGCTCATGTAAGATGGAAGTAGAGGCCATGGCACCATATCATGAGCATATTTTTATATTGAAACTATCATTGGGCACCAATGATGTGTATACGACGCTATGAAAGTTTAGAGAACTGGAGATTTTTCGTACAAACTACGTACTTAGCCCGTACCTAGATTATTGGCAAAAATAAAGACAGTAGAGTGAGCTAGGTACGTAGTTCATGGAAAAAAAAAATCAAGACAGTCGAGTGTGCTTTTTTAACTTTCTTTTGTTTTTTGTTTCGTTTTCTATTGGCAAGTGATTATTTAGGAACTTGTAATTTTTTTAGTTTTTTCATCGTATCTCCCGAACTATTGAATTCAGAGAAAAATATTATACGGATTTTTCGTAGATTTTATCAAAAGGAATAATTTTGGTTCTATAACATTTCCAGATATTTCCAGTTGTTTTCGAGATATTTGGAATTATCTGAGAATAAAAATGTCAACACTTTTGTTCTATCTTCCAATCAACAAATTGAAAAAATATTTCATGGTTCAGTGGAAGTCGATGAGCTTCATCTATCGATAATCTTTGTTTTTCAATATATCTTCATAGTACCCTATGGGTCGTTACAATTTTTTTTTTCATATTCTTCACTTTATTTCCTGTACTATTAGGTTAAAAGAAAAAATTATGGAAAATAATTTGTAGGAAATGCTCCAGTGGATAACTTTGCATTTCTGATAATTTTCGATTTTTCCATTTGTTTTCGATATATATTGAATTGAAAGGATTTCAAATTTTGATGTTTTGATTTCCATTTGTTTTTCCATTTTCCGATGGATGCACGAAAAACTGGTTAGATAATAATTTGTTGCGTCATCAAAGAGGCATACGGTGCATTTTTCAAATTTGGATTTAGTCTATTGTTTCAGGAGATATGTCGTTTTAAAGTGAACCGTGTTTTTCGGAAAATCTCCTTGAAAAACCCACTTGGAATTTCCCGACCCTGCTCAATTTCAATAGGCTCCCTGATAGAGGTTTCTTTCACAAAAAATAAAATCGATCGGACCACTTTTGCGTTTTGTAGAGTGGTTACAAGAAACTTCCGGTGAAAAATCGAAAAACCCCGGAAAAACCACCTTAGAGTTTTCCGATTTCCTTCATATTTTAATGACATAATATTGTTTTGAGTACAATAAGATGGCAAAATTTCAAGTCGATATGTCAAAGGGTTCCGGCGAGGGTTCCGGAGATATATCGATTTATGATTAACACAGAGTATAGACAGACAGACAGACAGACATACCACACACAAAAACCAAAGTTGCTCAAAATTCGATGGGGATCATTTTCTCTAACTATACCTCTATCTCGCTTAGTTTCCGAGATAGCATTTTTGGCAAGGCCGTAGTATACTCCACTATGTATAGCGTCGTATAACAAGAATAGTTATTTATACACCAAGGTAGTATAAAGAATATATAAGTATTTCCCCAGGAACCAAGACTACACTGAAAAGAAGGATAATTTCATTCGAAGGAATACGGACTTCATTCAAATCAAAGTAATTGTGATCTTGGATATGATCAAGTATGAATGTTCACTTCATCATCAACATTCTCTTGCTATAAGATTTTCAGAATATCATACTGGAAAGAAATAAGGATTTGTCTTCAGGTACCTAATACAATTTAATTGTCCCAAGTACCTACTTGATTTCCCTTAATTTATTGGCTGAAGAAATATATTCTATTTCATTGAATCCTCATCAGATACTCTGCCGAAGATTCCAGGTTATTCATTGGAAATTATAATTATGACAAAATTATAGTGGCGCTCGATTCAAGATTCCTGGAGTTTATTTGAGATTCAAGATTCTTCCTTTGAAAATTGTTGCACTTTGTCTCATAATGTATTCTATATATACTCTTGATCCGACAGTGAGGGTTTCTGAAATTGATTCAAGGTACTATCCCAAAAAAAAACTATGCATGGTTTAGCCTTTTTTCGAAAACATTTGTTTGTTGCAGTATTGGATAAGTTTTTTCAGAATCATCCTTGAAATTGCACTATTCACTGTGGAAATGGAGAAATATCTAAAAATAAAAATGGATTGTTATTGAAATCTCCCTATAGACTTGGATTGATCTGATGGGGAAAACCATTATTGTTTTCGTGTCAATCAAAACACAAATTAGTTTGTAATTGTCGGAGTGACATACAAAGCTACATATTATGCGATACAGATGCGTTGTTGCCAACGAAAGTATTAAGGAAGGTAAGGTATGAGAAGCAATACACGCGTTTCTTGAATGGTGCAATAACATAGTGAAAACACCAAATAAAGAAGTATTTTTCGCTGATTTCCTATGGAAATATATGAAACCAAAAACCTTATGTGCATGCTGGCTTCCTCAATGAACCTGTTATATTCATATATAATCTTGAAAACTTGCGAATTATTGTAGTTTTTCACAGATCATCTGCAACAACCGAGGCAACAACAGTCTAATATGTTTAAAAAAGAAAATATAATTTGTTTGTTTCACTCATGGTGTGTGTATAATGACTATGTCTCTTCGTTTGGTGTCATATTTCTGTTTATCGACTTCACTTTCCATCGTTGGGTTTGGATACACATAACGCTAAAGCAAACATCGGCGTGTTGATTATCTGACACTTCAGTTACCACCATAACAATAATATTTTAATAGCAGTTTGAGCTGTTATTGTTGTCTTCACAGTCCACACTTCTGAGTCGAACGTCAGTCAATCTGAGAACTTCATTAGATAAGTTAGTTATATAGTATAGGTAAATGAACATATAGTTGTCGATGAGAAAGCAAATGGACATTTAGTTAAGTTCATTAATATATATACGTTCGAATAAGGATTTATCAATGTTCTCTCTATTTTACAGGGTGTTTCTGAAATTGGGGCAATAAATGAAAGGTATGATTGATTACGAAAAAACAAAGCGAAATGAAGGAATACATTTTTATTGAAAAAAAAATATGTTGGGAGATTTTGAGCTCCAAAGTTTTCCTGAAACTCTTGTCAATCATCGATCAGAGGTTTATAGCAGAACCCAAACATTTGCTTTCTGCGCTTTCACAAGCACCGGAAGTGTCAATGAATCTATGGGCTCAACAAAGTTGCCATTAGATGTTATTCAATAATGGTTAAAAGAAGTCATGTCATGTCTCATATAACACCCAATTTCGGAAACACGGTGTTTTTAATAAATCATCATATATAATAATTGTTCATAGAAAATTATCTTTTAGATTATAAAGTATAGGTTATCAGTTTATTCAAGATAGTTAACTATGATCTTGGATCGTAGTTTCCAAAACTCATTATTTGATCATGACATGACTTTGTTCTACCCTCTAATACATTTTACATAATATAGACTTTCATGAAATATAAAATTTGTATCTCTTCAAATTTCTTGAGATTTTCTTTCTATAGAAAGAACATTATGAGTATCTGTATATGGAAATGATGAATTTGAGATGAATAATTGAACTGACACTGAGAAGTGATAACATGTTTATGTTCATGTTCAAAATTGTGAATAAAATAACGGATCAAGTCTTGGCATGCCTCTGTCGTCTTTGACACTCCATTTCCTGCTTGTTTCAAACATTTTGTTAACGCAGTTTTGGAGGAGTTGGAGAAGGGTTTCAAAAAGTCCTATTTTGATCCCAACAATACGTATGAAATATTTACATCGAATTTTGAATCACCCTGATTAGGTTTCTATCTCTATTCTGACATTATTTTTCAAAATAAGGTGTTATTTATCGATTTTATGTTTCTTTCAGGCTCTCACGAAATTTTTAATTCTGGGTCACATCAGATTGGTCCTTAGTCGAGTCCTTAATAAACTTACATCGAAATAAATACATCAATATCAATCCCCGAGAAGGCTGAAGGTCAACTATCGAATAGCAACATTGAAATAAATATAGCTATATCAAAATCTTTTCACTTCAACGCCGGAGGAAAATCACAGACGTGAAGTTTCTTTACAAAGTTGTAAATCATAAAAAAGACTCAAACGAAATTGTAAGTCAGATTCGAAATGCTGTACTTAACTACAACATTCGCCAAACTCTTTGATTATTTACTATGCAAGCAAATACAAACAATTTTATAAATTCCCGTCTACACGGGATAATGAAGACCTACAATATCTTATCAAATTCCACTAGCATCGACATATCTGGAAAAAAAGCTTCTACATATTTCAAAACATATTGAGAACACACCTTTCACAATTAGAGCACCACTGAATATCTGTCAAGTTGTGCTCCCCAATAATTGTTTTTTGATTGTTCTTCTTTTTCTCATATCATCTTAATATGATGCATACCTTATTGTAACTATATAACCACTCAGAGGATGCATTTTTTTGGGCAAGTCCTGTTTGCATCCCACAATAAATAAAAAAAAAAATAAAATAAGATCCCACTTCCATCTAAAATTCTTTACTCATCGAGAAGGAAATAGTTTTTGTTCAATTTTTGTGATGACGTTCGTCGTGAATTTGAAGACAGGAAAAATCTAATATTCTGAGAATTTTTGTTAGGCTTGAGTTTAATATTGCTGTGTACAGCATTTGCACATAAGGAAAGAAAATCCCAAAAAGTTTTGAGAAATGAATGTTCCACCTCTTCGAATATAAGCTACAGACAGTACTTGTTTCTTCGAAAAATTCTGACACTCGTTTTCATCTCATCGTAGGTATCCCTATATATATATAATGATTATAATGATTCGTCAACGAATGGACAAAAGTATTTTGTTAGGTATTCCAATTTACCCATCAAAA